CAAGCGGCAGCAGGGCAGAGCTCCCACTCCCAGTGCCTTCCACTGCCTGTCCAGAGTGCAGCCAGGCGTAGCCCACCCCACGCAGATCCAGGGGCACGTGCCCACTCCCGCGCCCTCCTGGACTGGTAGCATGCAGTGGTGGGAGCCCCCTTCTCTGAGTCCTGCACTCACTGCCCTGTCTGGGCTGCTTGTCCCAGCCTCAATCCCTCCCTCACTGTGAGGACATTGAGCTGCCCTCCCCCACATCCCTTCCTTCTCCGCTCCGCTCACCACCACAGACTTTTTAGCTGGAGGCAGCTATGTCCAACATGGTTAAGGACTGCTGCTTGTTTAGTCTATGGCCAAATCTCTGAATCGACGCCAGATCTTCAGATCTGAATTGGCCAAATCAAATAGGGACAGTGATTCAAATTACCGAATCGAATCACTGTCCCTCTGAATCAGCCAAATCCGAATAAAATATTTGCCGCTTTGCACAGGCCTAGTAAAAATGTTCAGCCACTTTGAGTTTATGAGCAGATCTTAGATGAGAAGATCATTACATTCTTCTCATCACTGATCTGACCTCTTTGTGCCCAACCATTCCAGAACTTGTCCATAGGACAATATGGCTGATGTACAGATGAAGTGCTGAACTGGGACTTGGGTGGCCTGTGGTGTAGCACCTATTGTACAGTTAAATGGCTGTATGATTTTGGAACAATGAATCCTAGTCTTTGCTTCTGTTTTTTCATCTCTAAAATGGTGACAGCAACAGAAGTCCCCTCTATAAACCACCTTGAGATCAACTGAAGCATAAGCAAGGATTATTAGCATTTCATACCTAGACACATCTCTAGTAGTTAACCACTAATAACATTATTATAACTAGATAATGCAGAAAACCATTTAATGCCATAGTTCCGTATCTGATTGTTGCTGCATCATGGATTTTGTTGCGTCATGTTTGTTAACATACCATGAAGCAACAGGATGTCAAGTTAAGGGGCATCCAAATGTTGAAAGCCTTGCATGCTTGCTTTCAAATCCTATATTCTCCATTCCTTCTAAAAAAGTCTTTTGAAACGGGTAAAGGCTGCTTCAGGGTGAAATACATTCACACAAAATCATGTGAACATTTCTTAACACTCGCGCATCACATTAATTATTGCCCGGATGAGCTTGGGTTGATTTCGGGAGATAAAGCAGCACACTAAATCTACCAGAGTAATGACTTACATCTAAGGCAGTGGGGCCAACTTTTTTGGCAGGCCTGTCACAAATTAAGCCTGTGCCCTCTCAGTGCCACTCTGATCCTTTTCCTCTGCTTTTGCTGTCTGCCCTGTCATCCCTGCCCACTCTGCCATGTTCCACATAAAAAGGCTGCCTATGCCTACAAGTCTAAAGCCAAGAACTTCATCCCTGAGGTGGTCTCTTTTTAACAAAGCTCTTTATCTACAAGAGATAGATAGAGGTGATGGGGGCAGAGACTATTCTTCCCATGGCCACAGTGGGATGTATATGTGGAAGTAGGACATCCAAGAAAATTTGAAGGGGACAACTGTAATAGTTTTGTGAGGTACGGTGGATATAGTAGAGCAAAAGCACTGTGTGGTAAATGAAAGCCAGTGAAGCTGAAAAGTACAGACCAGCTGTTCTGTAAGACTCTTTGGGGCAAGGGTAGTGTTTTTATTCTGTGTCTGCATCTAGTACCATGGTGTCCTAATTCATGATTAAGAGTCCTAGGGACTATGGCAATACCACTACCACTACTAATGTTCTGCCCAATCCATCCATGCTTTCTTATAATCTCTGTTCAGAAGTGTTGCCTCAGGAAAAAACACCAGTCTTCTCACAGGTACTCTCAGTTTTGCAAGCAACCTGTGGCACATCAAACAGTCTAAGCCAATGATCCACAGATCAGTGACTAGAGCTGTTTGGGCTGGTGTGGAGCTTAAACAGGTCTAGTCTTCAGTTTTTTACATCAGTCTGCCCTCTCAGTGGTCCCTTATTACTGGTATATTTGGATGGGGACTTAGAAGTGGGGGCCTGTTCTCTAAGAACACTGCACTCACTGTGACCGCGGTACAATGCAGACATAGGCGACAGAAGCCCAGGGATAACAGAGCTCAGCCCCCACAAATGCGGGCAGCCTGGGTGCAGGCTCCAGGTGGCTGCAGCAGGGCAGGTGGATGGGCGCACACAGACAGAGCTGGGAACTCAGCCCAGCCCAGCCATGTGTGGAGCGGCGTCCAGCAGATAAATGTGTGGATGGGAAGGGGCACGGGGGAGGGAAGTGGCATGGGGTGGCAGATCGAGGCCCCCACGGGGGGTGGGAGGGTCGTGGGATGCTCAAAGCCCAGGCATCTCGTCCAGGTGTGCGGGGGCTCCCACTGGTGTGTGCACCCCCAGGGCAGGCACAGGGGGCACATACCACCCAGATCTGTCTGTGGGGCTGAGGCAGCTGTTGCTGTGGGCTGGGCTCTGTAACCCACTGCCAGTGCCCTGCAGCTGTGCAATGCCACATGCCTCCCACTGCCGGGCAGGTGGCACAGCCAGCATGCAGGAGGCATGTGGGATCACACCACTCCCAGCGCATTGGCAGCGAGGTACAGAGCCCAGCTCACAGTGGCAGCTGCCTCCACCCCATGCACAGATTGGGGGGCATGTGCCTCCTGTGCCTGCCCCAGGGGTGCATGCAGCAGTGGGAGCCACCCTGTGTCCCTGGATGAGCACCCGGGTTCCAAGCGTCCCATGACCTGCCCTGGCCCCAGGGCCCTATTTGCTCTAGTCCCTGCCTCCCTCCTTCCCTCACCACAGGGGGCCTCAATCTGGCCCCTCACCCCTTTCCCACGATAGACCCAACCGCTGAGGGGGAGGATGCCTGTGCGTGTGCAAGTGCACACACACTCAGCCCCCAGATCATATTATCTTCTTCCGCCTATGAAAGCAGGCACATCCAAGGAAACTGGAATCTGTCTAGCTCATATACCTGTAGCAGTCAAGCAAAGGTTTTAATACTTCACATCAAGTGTTTTTGCTGCTATACCTAGATTACCACTAGTATCCCAAACAGTTCAAAGCTGTCATTGGTAGGTCTACATTACACTGCAGTACCAGGTCTCAGAACTACTACATCATCCAGTCATGGATTACTGGTTGAGATTTTCATTTCCTGCTAGAGCTCTCCCAGCCAGAGGACCATATGCGGCTTGCTGCCTTCTCTAGTTGCCTTGTCAAACTGTCCTCTCAATCCTACCCCTAGATCATTTCTGCACTGGGGAATGTGTGATTTATGAATTTTCCATAATGATATAAATTACACTTTTAGGAAGTAGAGCAATATGACACTATCAAAAATATATGCATTGCATGACCTGATTTTCAAAACACTGTTCATATGAATAGTCTTCACTCCTGTAAAGAAGCCCCACTGACGTCAATAAAAACAACTCCTCTGCCATAAGACAAAACAAAATAAGTTATACAGTACAGCATTTTTGTAGGGTTGTTTGTTTTTCGGCTGAATCAGCAAAAAGGGATTAGGGATACCTAACACAAAGGATTCTGGTACATAAAAGTCATGAGAAAAAAGACCAGGTGTTCTAGGAATCACAGAAGGAAAGAGAGGATTGTTCAGATTCTACAGTCCAAAATGCAGTGTGCATGTGCCAGAAAATATCACGCTGATTGAATACCAGTTGCTAAGGAAACTCACAGCATGACCGTTTTAGAGGTTTTTGTAAGTAAGAAGAAAAGCCATTTGGGTAGTTAGGGTGGAAACTTGCTCAGAGTGGAAATGAACTCTATGGGTCACTTGGTAAACAGGCAAGAAGTTAGTGTAGGGCCCCCCTGGGAAGGACTAGCAACAGGTCAAACTTTAGAGCTTTGACTGAAAACAAGCTGCCCAAGGAAGGCATCTTGAAAATTTCAGGGTTGAGATGACACGCAGAAGAATCTTATTATAAATTTTTATTATGCTGTTTCTAGTAATTTGCCCCCCTCCACCAATCACCAGCCTGGTATCATTTCCTTTTTTTTCTCTGATGTAATTTTAGAGGATCATATGGGCAAGTTCTAAGTCGTACTGAATGCTAGGGTGTCAAAGAGACGTTCTAGCAGGAGAATATAACAACGGCATACAACCATGACCCCTGGGGTTCCTGTTTTCACCTGTGACCCTGCACTGCCTGTGAGGCTGTAGGAATGGCTTAGAAGCTGTTACCAAAGCTCTAAAGCAGTTAAGAGTCCTCTTGCACAGGATGATATCTTCAGGGATCAGCTCTAGGGACAAAGCCATCCAACATTCAGATCACTGATTTGTACTTGACTCAGGAGAGGAAGTAATGCAATTGCAGGATATTTAAATGGAACTTTTTAAAAAAAGATTCTGCACAAATGGAATACATAAGTCAATGAGCCCCAGTGACTGAGGAGGACAGTTACTTGGCTAGGAAGTGAATAGGTAGAAAAAACAAAAGGCTCCTTTTTTTTCCCCCCCCTTTTTTAAGATTCAGGTTGTAAATTAATTAATCTCAAAGTGAAAAGGATGAGCTCAGCCTAGGAAGTGCATACACATGGAAAATGCAGAAGACTTTTTTACAGTTCAATTCATAATTCTTTTAAAGTAATGTTCGTAACTTTAAAAAAACATTGTTTAATTGGCTTATTATAAATAAAACAGAGCTTTTCCTGGATGGCAACTTTTCATTATTGCTCCTTGCTTATTACAGTCTGATGCAGGAAACATTTCTACACTGTTTTCATGGCATTTTCACAATATAATTATTTCAGTTTCCGGTATGGGGAGATGGGTCACATTTCTTTGGGTTTTCCTGTTCCCTTTTTCTCTCCTTTCCTTTTTCCCCTCTATACATTTTGTGTTTATCATCACTTATATCTGATGCTCATCATGGTATGTTTTTCTCTTAAATCAGGTAATGGTGATAAGGAGTGAAGAAAATTTTAGGAATGATTTCATTTTTTTAACTCTATATAATTGTATTTATTTGTTTAAACAGGATCAACTGTACAAGTTTGAAAAACTGCATTTTTTTCTCAGCCATTCCAGTGATGAGTTATATTTCCTTTGTCTACATCTACTTCTGTAGACTGGATTTCAGCTGGGAGGTGTCAGTAAAATGGTGACAGAGACCATGGAACATCACCCTTACATCCAGTAAAAAGTACTACCAAAAGAGTTACAGGTATCTCTAAAACTTATTTGAAAAAAATTGTTATAAATAATGTACAGCAAATGCCTGTTTCACTGAGGTTTTCCTTTAATCAGAAATGTATATTATAGGTTTCAAGTGGGTGGGTCTGTTTATTTGTATTTTTCTATGAAAATATGTAGGTATCTTAGTGATATAGCCAACTCTGCCATGACAGAATTAAAACTAGGCAAAAGCTGTCAAAAAGTAAGTGTGTCCCTTGGCACCCTGAGAAGCAATCATGCAATATTTTTTCTAGCAATGCAGCATGTACCAACTAGGCAGGGTTCGTTTCTTAGCAGCATTTTCAGGATTGCCACAAATGAGATACAGACATACCCTTAGACTTCTCTAAGGTATTTGGCTTAGTACTGCATAATGTTGGGCTGAAGAAAATAGCATTTTACCAAATCAATATGACACTGGCTAAATGGATTAAAGACTAACTGACAGATCTCAAAGAGCAGCTGAGTAATCATTATTGAGTGGATGTGTCTACTGGGGTCCTAGAGAGTTCACTTCTTGGCTCTACATTTTTTCACCTCTTTATCAATCACCTGGAATAAAGAGAATAATTACTGACAAGGTTTGCAGATGGAGAACAGTTTAGGAGAGTGGTAAAGAATGAAGATGACTGATAGAGTAGTCTGGATTGCTTGATTAACTGGGTGCAAGCAACCATTGTGCATTTTAATACAGCCAAATGTAAAGTACATGTATAGTTACAGCAGGATACACTTTCAGCATGGATAAATTATAGAGAGTTCAGAGGAGAGCCACAGGAATTTTTAAAGAATTGGAAAATATGCCTTATAGTGAGATAGAGTCCAGAAGCTCAATCCATTTAGCTTCAAAATGATGGCTATGTGGAAACTTGATTGCAATCTGTAAATATGTGCCTAGGAGTCAGAAGTTTGATAATGAAGGGCTCTTCAGTTTAGAAGACAAATAAAAATATCCAACATCTACAAGATGAAGGCAGACAAGTTTAGACTAGAAATAAGGTGCAATTTTTAAGTTAGTCATTAGAAATAACTTGCCAGGGATTTTGATGGGTTCTCTTCTCACTAGAAAATTTTAAAACAAGATTGGATACTTTTCAAATAGTGAATTCTAGTTTAAGTAATTCAGGGAAGTCCGACATCCTGTTATATAGGAGGTCAGACTAGATGAACACAGTGGTCCCTTCTGAACTCATACTCTATTAATATAATCATTAATATTCAAATTTGTCACAAATAGCCTTCTGTCAATCATTTTTATCCAAGACTCAAGTTCCTGGCCACCTGCATAGCTAAATGAGTTATCTCCTTGGCTGATGCAAAATACAGAAGGTGTGATGATTTCGTCCAAGTCCCTAACATCAACAGATAATTTACAACTAGATGAACCATATGAGATGTGTGACTGCCTTTCCTTGGATCACTGTTCTTTAAAATATCTTTCTACTAAAAAATAGCCTAATATGGAGACCGAAAACTTCAACATTTGTTTCTGAGCTTGTAACACAATACTGAACTGGGGGCACATCTATAGGAGATGCTACGATGTAGTAGAAATGAGCTACTGTGCCGTAGTTCGCTGTTATCTTGCAGTAGCTTTGCTGGGCACTAACTATGATGTGACACTACTGCACAGTAGTAATGGGCTACTGCACAGTAGCTTGTTGCTATTGCACAGTAGCATCAGGAAAAAAAATGTGTGGTAATAGTATGGTGCAGTAACACCATTTACTGCACAGTCATTTAGTACTTGTTTAAGCCAGTTAATATTTATGAAGTTACTAAATGACTGCACAGTAACAACTGTGCAGTCCACCACACATGTAGACAGGGCCTGGATGGAGCAAAAGGGTGGGAGGAGGAGAGCAGGGAATTCTTGTGCTTACATATATGATAGGGTAAATCCAGTCCTCACCCTCTCCATCTTCATGCAAATGAGAAAGCTGGTCAGAAGGGAAAGGCATGAAGCCTGTACAGCCTAAATGCAATCCTGAAGTGATCCCTAGCCTGGAAGGATCTTTTGAAGATGAGACTGGGTCCAGGAGCCTCAGCATAGCCAGTTTACTGTGAACCTGAGTATGCATAAAGAACTGTGGGTACATACTCTAAATTGTACTAAACCAGCTATGGGAATGCACACCGTGGGTGCAAGCAAGCAGGAGGTGCTTCTTGGTGTTGCTCCTACAGTAGTAGAAGGAAGTATAGGTATTCCTTAAAGTGAAGGTACTGTAACACTCAGGCTCCAACAGCAGTTACAAAGTAGGTTCTTCTGTTTTTCTCAGCCTTCCCCCTGAAGCTATTGAATAACCTGTTTTCTGTGCTGTGCAAGATATTCTGCCATGAAGTGCATACCCATCTATAAGGCCTCATGTTTTCATTTCATGTATGTCCAATTAAAATTCTGGTAAAAGATGTCACACCTAAAATTCTGTTCCCTATGCTCTGTCTGTACAATAGGAAATGGCATTTCACCACAATGTAGCAATTTCCTCTGTGAAACATACTGTATTATGCTATCCTATGTATCTGAAACCTAAATGGATGCCTGTAGTGATGAGCCAGTAAGTTTACTACCATAACATTAGTCATCATAAATACTTTTTAAATTGAATGAAATTATGCCCCCAAATTGCAGGACCTGATTCTCAAGGGGGAAACTAATTATCAGGACATCTGGCAGGGGAGAAACATAGCAATGCATAAGCAGTCCAGCAAATTCTTGGAGTGTGTTGGGGATACGGGTTTTTTTATATACAGATGGTAGAAAAGCCAACTTGAGGGAAGCTTTTCTCATCTTGCTGTTTACAAACAGGGAGGAACTGGTTGAGAATGTGAAGGTGGAAGGTAACCTGGGGGACAGTGACTGCAAAATGATAGGAGTTCAAGATCCTAAGGGAACTAGGGAAGGCGAACACCAAAATAAGGACATCGGACTTAAGAAAAGCAGACTTAAGCAAACTCATGGAACTGGGGGGCAGGATCACTTGGGAGACAACTCTCCTGAAAAGAAGTCCAGGAGACCTGGCTGTACTTTAAGGAGGCCCTTTTGAAGGTATAGAAGCAAGATAAGATAGAAGAATGGGAAGTGCAACTAAAAGGTCAGCCTAGCTAGACAGAGAGATCTTTTGTGAGCTGAAACTTAAAAAGGAATCCTATAAAAAGTGGACACTGAGTCATAGTAAAAGGGTATAAGAAAGCTAAAAAAAGGTTAAAAGAATATTGCATGGGCAAGTAGGGATAAAATTAGGAAGGCCAAGTCACAATCTGAGCTGTAACTGGCAAGGCAAGCAATATAAAAGGCAATAAAAAGGAATTCTACAAATATGTCAGAAGTAAGAGGAAGACGAGGAAACCATAGGTCCCTTATGAAATGCAGAAGGTAATCTAGGATGTATGTAGATGAAACGGGGGACCTAAATTGAAGCAGTGGGTTTTAAAAAACACTACTTCAATTTAGGGCTAATTAAACCCCTGCATCACGTACACATGCCGCTGACTGACCTGCCTCTCTGGTGGGGAGGGGAGGCCGAGCTGCCAGCAGTAGCAGTAGCTGCAGCCCCTCCCTAGGTAGCACCCACCCACAGGCACCCAGCTCAGGCAGTCCTGGGGGGGCACTGCAGCCCCAAAGGAAAGCACCAGTCCCCTGCACAGCTCAGGTAGGCAAGCAGGCTCCAGTGGGGGTGGGGCAGAAAAGCGATCAGGTTCACCACTTTTCTTGGGTGGAGCTGATTTCCCGGGCTGCTGCCAGGCTGCCTGTAGGGCTTCCTGCAGAGCTGTGGAGCTGCACAGAGCCCAGTGCTTTGCTCCACAGCTGAAGGGGCAGCAAACTAACAATCCTTGAAGGCAGTTTGGGTTTCCGCTTCAATCTGGCCAAAGCAGCTCCAAAGCTTCAGAGCCGCCTCGGAGATCCGGCCATAGGGTATAATGGGGAATCAATGAAATATCTATAACTCTGTTGTTTTTTGTCTAATTTGGATGAAATATGCAGGAGTTGTAGCCCCTGCTGAGAGTATGAAGCCTGCCAAGTTTCAAGAAGATTGGTGCAGGGGTTCAAGGGTAACTGCACCCCAAATTCCTGGGGGCGCAGGTGGTGTTTTCTTCGACCCTCCCAGTCTCGGGTGTCATTGGGAAGGCTTTGGCCCTGTGGCCGGATCTCCAAAGCGGCTCTGAAGCTTTTTTGAACCGCTTCAGAAAGCCTAATGAAGCCAGTGCTTTGATCCAGACATGCTGCTTTGGATCCAAAGCACAGTTCGAAGCCTCGCACAGCCCTAATGTATTTCTTCCTTCTTCACAAATAGGGGCAGCTACCAGATGATGAGTATAGCTGGCAGCAAAGATAGGGAAGCAGCTTAGAGTCATAAAAAAACAGGTTAGAGTTTACTTAGGGAAGCTAAATCAGAGCTGGGCAAAATACAGCCCACGGGCTGGATCTGGCCTGCCAGGCTATTCTATCTGGCCTGCAGGACCCCTAAAAAATTTAGAAAATTAATATTTATCTGCCCTGGCAGCCTTTCAGTGCTGACAGGAGCCATGGGCAGTTAGGACCCAGGGGGAGCCTCAGCAGGACTGAACAGCCCAGCCCTGCCCACCCCCAGCCATTTCACTCTCTTCCTGCCCCCTCCCTGCTCCAGCACCACGTGGCTGCTGGCTGCATCGTCGGACAGGGAGTACAGGGCTGTGCCGGTATGGGGGTGTATGGGTGTGTTTGTGTCCAAGGAGGGGCAGTGGTGGGGGGCAGGCAAGGACAGTGTGTGTGTGTATGTGCATACAGGCAGGGATAGTGTGTCTGTGTGCATGTGTGTTCATAGGCAGAGTCCCACAGGCATACCCCACCATACACATGAACCCACACCCTCGCACTGTCATAAATGCAGACCCCCCACATCCCCTCACACACCTAGCCCCCAACAAACCCCATACCCACCCACATCCCACATATCCACACACACACACCCACATGCTCTCTCACCCCACATATCCATACACCCACAG